TCCGGCACCGCATTTGCCTATTTAAACGCATGCGTGTGCATGAAGACTAAGCATCACCTAGACAACCAGCTGTGGTAACGTTAGCCATCAATCATGGCGACGGGCGAACGATCATGAGCGCGTGCGTGGGTAGGTGCGGGTGTGGTTTGGTCACACGGTAGATACGCAGAACCAACGCTGGGGTTGGATCGGGGTCGGACAGACGTTATTGGGAATGCGTATCCACAATGAATGCCAACATTAGGGGTGTGACAGCAGGCCCATGTGCATGTCCACGCCGCACAAGTGAGGAACCGAGACGCCTCCTCCCCCTTTTGCGTTGTATAGGATCCCAGTCAATGTACTTTATGAGCCAGGGAATGGGGTGATACGTCAAGGTGTGGGTCTGATCGTGCCACCCACCTGCGCCTTAGCCCACCTTCAGTCTTCTTGACACTGTCTTGATACCAGGCCCAGGTGGGGGAGGAGGAGAGTGTGCAAAAGATGCCGCGCAAGTCACCGTCCCTGCTCTCATCCTGCTGTGGAGCGCACGGTGGACGTCGTCGGTCACGACGGCCTTGCTGTCGGGTGTGACTTGAGTGATAGGTGATGTTCTACTGATGACCGTCATATATGTGGGTAGGGACGAATAGGCCTATGTGGTGAATTAGTTTTCGGAGACACATTGTGCCTAACGTTTGTTAGCCAGGACTGTGCGCACCGGTTATCCAGTCGTATTGCAACAGACTTGGAGGTGTCCGACCCGGTCAGCGGTGTACTTGTTTGGCAGTGATGTTAGCGTTTATATTGCGGCGAATGTGAAGCAGCACAGCTCTGGACTAACCAATCCGCATTTAGCCCTCCGAATTGAGACACAACCGACTAGGCTGGACATGCTGTCCAAACCGCCCTACAGGTTCTGACGCAGTGACATAATTTCTTCTGCAAGTATCTTCTTCCCCTATCGTGGGAAGGGGGTTCACCGAACAGGTTACTGGTCATATTCTTCATGTTGCGCCTTGGGGCTTGACCTAGAGCCCACGTAGACAGTCGCATATTGGTCAATGATGGTTCAGGGAAGGAAACCGACAAAAACACCGCGAGACTGGGATGGCCACTTCTCGTTTGAAAACCGCCCCCAGTCAGCCCTTTCCAGCCCCAGGTTTGCTTGACCTGAGATTTGAACCGGGATATTTGGGTCACTGATTGTTGTCAATTCCAGCACCACATCATCGAGACGCAGACCCGCCGTCTTGTCGCTTGCGATCGGGAACAATCCCTATCAACTAACGACCCATAAATGCCTTACCCACGACAGTGACTATTCTCGATCCCAACCGGTAGGACAACAGAGCTGTGACTCAGCAACCATGAATGCACTCTCGAGGCCCAGGTGTGGAAAACCTGAAGTCGGGCCTGGCTGACTGACGACGGCCGATAAGTCGAAACGGCCATCCATCTCTGGCTTGAATTTGTCGTTAGTTCTACCTACATACTTTCTTCACTTTTCTGAATTTAGCTGGTTTTAGTTAGTGGCAGTACACGAAGAGATGGATAATGGGAAAGACAGTGCGGATGGAGGAAGGGATTCGAGTTTCTGCATGAACACTGAAAGAAACTGACGACTATCACGCATGAAACAAGGCCACAGCAACACTTCAGTTTCTTAAAATAAGGACGTTTTCCTTTGTTCCATTCTATCCGGTTGATACGCGGAAACTAACATCCTCCCCCTTATTTCCTTGGACATGAACACCCGACAGTCCAACCACCGCAAGCGGTGTCCTCTACAGTGGCGTGGCGGACACTGAACGGTGAGTAGCACGCGGAATATTTTATAGTGATCGTGGACTTTCACAGCATCTACTACATTCTCTCCTCCCCCATCCCTCCTGAGTCCGATGACAAGACTGGATCAGGACGACTGGAGGGGACTGATTCCTGTGTCGACCCCGCTCTCCCACGCACCGGTCCGCTGTCCGAGACATTCAACCATCGGACATGGAGGTGAGTGGCCGGCGCGGCGTGAGTCTGCGCCCAGGCGTACCGCTACACCCCCACCGGTGGCAGCAGTTCGCTAAACGTATGCCGTGCCCTAATCCGGTCCTCGTGTCGGTCCGGTGCATCACTGGTCTGATCCGTCGGAGGGAAGAGGCAATGAATACCTACAAGCGTCTTATTGCTAGCTGAGTTTTTTGGTCGGAGTCTGCAGTCCTTGTTGGAACGCGAGAGACCCAAGAAGACCAGCTTCGACGGAGAAGCCGCGTATTTTTCAAATCCACCAGATCCGCTCTCAGGAGTACACCACGAGGCCTAAAATCTCACCACAGATCGCACATGTTGATCACTCCAGCTACCAGAGGCTACATCCATGGCGTGTCCTTTTTGGTGTCAGTGGGCAGTCGGACAGCTGACCTGACAGTCGCGCCATCGCGGGGTTTACGAGGACACCCTGTCCTTAAGTGAAGCACTGGCATCGGTGTCAGACATCGGCGCACGAGTTAGGCAGTCAGTGCCAGCCTCGTCAACGGACGCGCGTCGTGACAGCACTCGCTCTCCCACACGCCACCGACTGCCTGTGGACATTGTGCTTTTACTCCGCTGGAGCTGAGACGATTCAGCTCAGATATTCATATCAACTCGCGTGTTCCACAATTCGGGGTTGGCTATGACTGGCTGATGACGGCTAATAAACCACAAATGATCATTCCAGTCTCCCTTATCTTTGTCGGTAATGCCATTCTGCCTATATCATGCGCCGCTGTGCGGCTGCTGGTAGGACTCGAGAGAAAACCCGTAAGGCAAAACCGAACGAGTGAGTTTCGTAAGAACGATCAGTGTGCGCCCCCCACCATTGTATATTCCCGATCGAAACCGACAGGGCAAAGGGCTCGTGGCTCAGTGGTTAGACGCGTGGACTTCTAACAGGTCATGAGTTCGAGCCTCGGGTGTCCCACACTTCGGGGTTGGGTACGACTGGCTGACGACGACTAGTAGGCTAGAAGTGGCCATTCCAGTCTCCCTTGTCTTTGTCGGCAACAGCATTCTGCCTATATCATGCGCCGCTGTGCGGCTGCTGGTTGGGCTCGAGAGAGAGAGAGCCCGTAAGGCACAACGGCACGAGTGAGTTCCGTAAGAACGATCGGTGAGCGCCCCCCCCCCCCTAGCATTCATATCAACTTTCGGATCGAGCCTGGAGTTTCGAAGAATTTCCCCAGGCCCACATACTAATTCCCGAGGAAAGTGAAAAGATTGACATTGAAAACTGGAGCGCTTATACGCCAGAAAACGTACTAGGGATACTGTAGAACCCACTTGTGGGCCAAACTCCTCGCAGTTGCGTCATGCGGCTGCAGAAAAACGATAAAACGCATGTTCGACCCTCTAGCTAGTAGTCTGGGTGAATGGCTATTCAGTGAATTCTCACAAAACACATCCCTCCTCCTCCTCCTCTCTCTCCTCTTCCTCCTCCTCCTCCAAGGGTTTATTCGCCTCCACCAACTGGAACTCGATCCCGGCCTCGAGAGTTAAAACGCATGCATTATCCTAACTGCCGCGACAGTAGGCATGCACGTCCGTCAAGGAGTTGACCTGCAGTATATGAGAGGAAGTGGCATCCGCGCCCTAGCACGTACACCTGTAGACGATTCCGATATGGAACACTCAAGGGAAGCGATAGCACCGAATCTCCACGGCTAAACGGAATCGCTCTCATCCTACAATCAGGATAGATTGGGTAATGCACAGCCCCCGCGCCCAGGTTCCCGATTGAGGTTGACGGGGCGTGAACCCCGCCGACCGGCTGGTAAGGGCCTCTGGTCTGAGTGTACAGTGGCCCACTGGACTCAGGTCCGGCCTCGGGTGTGTCATCGAGGGTTCGGGGCTCATCATCTAATGACGCATGTCCTCAACTGCCACTTCAGTGTCCATCATCCCCGTTCATGATACTTTTTTACTAGGGGCCCGCGTTCCTAAGATGCGATACAGACATGAACGGACACCCTCCCCCACAACAGTTCGTCCAGAACCACCGTTCCAGTTGAGTTTGGTCGCCTCAGAGTGAGAGATCGCGATCGACTCCAGCCATTTCGAGGAGCTACACAACCGTTTTCCATGAAACCGTCATCTTGCGTGCACAAACTGAACTTGCAGTGAACGCAAACGGAGTGGCCCTCGCCAAACAGCGTTAAAGCATCGTCTGCTATCCCAAACATGACGTCGACTGAGCTTCGGCGTCTTTTATCGTAACTTCGACGAATCGGGCTGCGCGCACCCGTAACAACGCGATCCTATAGTTGCTTAAAACACATCCAAGAAAACAAGGAGAACAACTTCTCAGAAAAAAAACGAATCTTGGTCCTTGAAGACCGAAGCAAATTCCCTTCGTCCGAAGAATCCAGACAGCCGTATCTCTAAAAGCCAGACTCGGGGCTTTTTGAGATGACGGTGGTTACTCCAGTCCCCAGCAAGATCCCTTCAGCTGCACTGAAACATTATGACCGGTAGGCAGCCACCCCACCGACTCTCTGGAGGCCGAATGACATAACTGAGTAGTCTTCACTCTGCTGTCCTACGAACCCACCTCGGACTTTTAGGGACAAGCGATGGACACACTCACAAATTACGGCCGCCTAGCCCTGTGATCCACAAAAGACGCAGGGTATGGGAAGGAAAGAGATCAGTGCTTGCTTCACTACTTCACAACAACAGTTCTGATTATCGAGGCGAAAAATCCGCGTGTGTGTATATATAAAAATAAGAGAGAAAGAGAGATCAGAAGTAGGATGTCTCCGGCCTCCAAAATCAAAAGGATTTGAGCACGACGGTACGAGAACGCGGACGGGACTTAGACAAGAATGAAGACTGATCATCAAGAGAAATAGGGGGAGAAAGAGAAGCCGCGGTGACGGCCAAACTGTCATGCACTGGCGAGAGAACTGCAAGTTCGATGGCAGCGGGTGGGTAGTGCCTGAAAAAAAACTCCCCTCCCCTCCCCATCGACAGCAAGTGGCTGCTGACGCCTAGAGGCGGAAAATCTCGTCTGGCAGGACGAAGTTGGAGTTCTCGAGACCGTGAAGCTCTGGAAGCGGGGGATTGCTGTGCAGCGAGGAGTCTGAGGGACGTGAAACAATGGTTGCCACCCGCGGCTGCATGAGTTCCTCAAGGGACATTTGAGAGGGCCCCGCCGAGGAGTTCAATGGCCGTTGAAGGGGGTCGGCCTGAGGACTGGATAGAAAGAGGGTGGGATGTGTGTAAAGCAATGAGCGTTTTTGTTAGAATGGAATAGACAAATTTCAGATTATATTTCTGGGGTATGAGAATTTCCCGGCAGGAAAACGACTAGCACCTATGAGGAAACAGGAAGTAACAGTCCCAGAACTACAAAAACTTGGGTAAGCTTAGCAGCAACGTACGAAAAAGGTCATGGACAAAGAGAGAGAGAGAGAGAGAGAGAGGGAGAGAGAGAGAGAGAGAGAGAGGGAGAGAGAGGCATTCGTGATTTTGGGCAGCTGTTGCCAACTTGTGTATTGGCCTATGGGTGTACCGACACTCGACGGACGTTGGTCCTGGCAGTTGGGGGACAATCCCGCGGCCTGGCCTAATCCGGGTGCGACAACTAAACAGTACAGCCCCTTTGACTTAACAGGCATGCGATTAGCTTGTCATCCAGCGGATTAAGTATTCGCATACACACACACACTGCATAGGCGATAAGCGTTACACAGATGTGAACGCTCGTGGATATAGGAGGGCATGGTAAAACTGGTAAGCTTATGGTGTGAACTTCGTCTATGACGCGTAAGATGGTGACCTAAGGACCATTACGCGTCTCCACAGCAACCAGGTCCCGCAAATGCGCGTTTTTGTACGAGATGGCTACTGTTCATCGTTGAACTTGAGCACTGCATCAAAACGCGAAATAAAACAAGCGCTCGGTTAAAGTCGGAGGGACACAGAAACTAAAAGCTAACGAACGAACAGTGCAGACTCTGCGATCCAAAAGCCGTTAGGCATGATCACGCGCGCTATGGGTGAAAAAGAGTGAAGGATGTAAGGGGGCTGCCCCGATCATGTGACGGCATAAAAACATGCGACATCATGGTCGCGATCTTGAGGTCATAGGGAGGAATAGACGATGGCAGCCCCAAAGTGCACACATAACGCACATTCTCTTGGTCGTCACCTGCGTCGATAGTCCACCCCATGGTCGATAATTAGTTACTATGGCACCTAAACTCATAAGCCAACTGTGAGTTTGAACGGTATTCGTACAGACAATGAAGCAACAAGGCTGCGTCCTGTCGCTAATTCTGCTCAACGACGCCGCTAGCCCGATTACTAGAAGGGCCCTACATGGGTTTGACGGTGTTCAGTTTACACCTGAACGCCGACTGACTGATCCCGACTACGCTGGCGATACTGCCTTGTTAGCCTCAAGTTTGGGTGATCTAGAGTCTGTAGTGCCACTGGTGAAGGGAGCCGAAAAATACGTCAGTTTGTCCATAAAAGCTGGGTGGACCAGAGTGTTTTCGAGCTGCATCCCCGACCAGCAGAAGACCATCCTCGGGATAAATGGCTGTTAACTTGAAGAAGTGGACGGTAAGCGGAGCTCTTTAGACAGATGCTGCTGGCGGGCCTATGGACCCGACGCGAAATCACCGTGCAACGAAGATCTGCATGCACCCTGCAAGCGGTTATAAAAGTTGGGCTTTGAGCGTGGGAGAAGAGCGAAAACTGGAGGTGTTTGACCACCGCTGTCTGAGAATCATCCTTAGACTGAAGTGCACTGGCCACATCTCACATAAGACTGGCAGCACTCGCCATGATAATATTGCACGGATATCCCGGGACATCTAATAAATATAACTGATGCGGTTTGGGCGCGTGTTTCGTAGTCCGTCTCGTGTTTCTGCTCTCGACTCGGCGCCGTTACCCAGGTGGAGCTGTCGAAGAGGAGGCCAACCCACAATCTGGCTGAACACAGTTCGTCAAAACATGCAAGTGTTGTAGCAGCCGCTCCAGTCCCCCTTTTTTCCTGCCCCGCTTTGTCGGTCGATGGCCGGACAATGGTTGACAGGCCGTTGACACACGACCAACCCCGCCGGCTGGAACTGGGCCCCTCCTGTCCAGCTGCAGTGACTCCCGGATGCCCTCACAAACTATTATCACCTCACGCGCGTCGGACGACCCGACTGGATACCCGTGAGCCCCTGTGATTATGCGTCCCCCCTAATTCTCCCCTAATCCGTCCAATCACACGACCAACACTCAGCCAGTCACCCCCACCTACTGACACAGACATTCACTCCCGCGTAAACTACACACCGCGACTGACACACGCCGTGAACGGACGCTTATCTCTGTTGCAAGCAAACAGCCAACTTACGGCAACCTGCCCTTTGTAGAGAATAAACCAGTCCTCACAGCTCCCTGACTTCCGACATTAGACGAAACGAGCTTATTGTGTGTGGTTAAAGTTGATCTCACATCCTTGACCGCCACAGTGGTTCTTGGACCTTCGGTGTTCAATCTCCGTCGCCAAAGGGGAGAGGGGGTCAAGCTGCCCAGATCCGCTGCCGCGGATAATCGGGCATGGAGAGGCACAGTCCGTGACATCGTCGAGGTCGGCTTGATCAGGTATGAGTTAAGTCAAACACCAAATAAGTACCGAAGGGCGCGTGAGAACTGTCAACCACCGGCAGGCATGCGGCCGCGCCGCAACCGCAGCCAGTAAATACCACATGCTTTTCGCGTGTACATTTGAAGCTTCAAGCAAAGAAAACCGATGCTCCAGCCTGCATTCCTGGCATCGAAAACACAGGTGGGGGGATTCAGGTGAGCAAACTTTCACAGACGACGCAGGACAACCTATGGTCCGAAAAGGATAAGATACAGGTAGTTGGGCAAAAGTATCAAAAGTGACGGTGGTGGAAAACAATTTCAGAAGTTACTTCCGCATGGAAAACTGACTTTTCAGTCGGCTTACGCACCATTAACGCGAACAGCGACAAGAAGTGATTGACATCATGGCGCTTGTGAGAGTAAGACGACAGACTGACCACGCATTACAACCGCTTGTTTACTTGATCGAGCACGTGCTGTCCGTAGGACACTGTAAACTATCAACGGTCGGCGCCACAGGCTAAGACTGCACGGGGTTCGTTACGGAGACAGTAGGTCTGTATGGCCGCCAACTACGTTCCCATTCAAGCTCCAAGCCACATAGTCGTCCACCGCTTTTTTTTTAATCAGCGACTTCAAAAGTCGAAAGGTTGGTTAACTTTCCTACACGTGCAGAGCCGCGTAAGGCCGCCAGTAGCTGGAATAACAGGTAATGGCGTGAGTACGCTGACCTCCCGACTGTCGTGTCAGACCACGGGAGACCTCATTTTACACAAGAGATGCCACAGACAGAACCATCAAAAGGTGGAATACGCTCACCGAGATCCGCCGAGATGTCTCGCCTGTCTCGAAGCGTCTAGGGAGGAAGTGACAGTGGAGACGGCAGCTTTATCGGCTGAGGAGGATGATGTGTTGGTCGACAGTGGCTCTGAGGACGAGGGCGGTATGGGGATGAGAAGGGTGTCAGTCACCAGCACGTCATTACTCCACATGCGATTGACCCGTTTCAGCAGGCTCACGCTCACGTCATGGCGCACGGCAATGGAGGAGAGCGTGTCCCCGGGTTGGACAGTGTAACGGATGCATTTGTGTGCACACGGTGTTACCGCTGCAGACGATGAGGACGCGTCCCTCAGCGTACCATAGTACTTGGGACGCGTTTCTCGCAGTATGCAGGCATCCTCGGCCATGACAACAGCAGCAGCGGCGGCGGCGGTGACAGTTTGGTTAGGGTAGGGGATCCTAGTGCCCAATAAAGACGGGAATCAGCCGCTGTGCCGGATTTTTGTGGGTGTACCTGGGGAGATAAGAAGCAAATGCAGTAAACGTATCTGCTGAGAGGAAAGAGATGCGAAACAATTCGATCGACTTAGCGTCATCCGCCCCTGAATTTGCTTAACGGTATTTCTAACCCAAGCCGCAACCCTCGCCGTAACCCTAACCCTAGATCAACATTGATCCTCACCTGGCCGTAACCGTAGCTCTCGCCCTGGTCGTAACCAATTGGGGACAAATCTAAGTGCGTTCTTGGCAGATGGACGACAATGAGTCAGGTCGGGTTACGGGACATGCTCGTCCTGCTGTGCCCTGAAGCTCAATCTGGAACCAACGAAGGCAGCTGCATAGGGGGTCGTGGAAATAAGTTGGGAGCAGTACCGACTAAGACAAGGCAGACTGGGATCCTATCCGGTGACTTTTGGTCATTGAGTTGAAAACTTTACTACTGAGCCACGGGTTTGTCCTGTCGGTTGCTATCGGCGCTCCCTCCCGCGTGTATGCATGACCGCCATGCAATCGCCTTCGTGGGCTCTAGATTGAGTTCTGCAACCAGACCGATGAACGCAACTCCAGCGTAGCTAATATTCCCAACCGCAACCGACAGGACAAAAAGCACGTGGCTCAACGGTAGAGAATTCGACTCAATGACCAAATATCCTGGGTTCAAATCTCGGGTGTCACAAACTTGGGGTTGAGTATGGCTCACTGACGACGATCAACAAGCCCGAAGCGACTATCTCAGTCTCCTTTGTCTTCTTCGGTACTCCTTCCGGAACTTATTTATGGTCGCTACGTGACCGTCTTCGCGGGCTCTCGGTTGAGCTTCAAGGCACAATGGAAGAGCATGCCAAGTAACCCGATCGGTGGATGTAACTCCAACATATAGGCTTGGAAGAAAATAAGTCCCTTGGAAATGATAATAAAGTTTATTTCGTAAATTGTCGACTCTAGTCCCCCAGGTCGTCCTCAGATGTGATACAAGTGTGCACATATCAGTGTACCAAAAGGGGGGCTTATGCGAGGTTCTTTCACAATACTTATAGCAACCACCCAATCTCTCGCAAACGGGGTGACGTGAACAGCCTCCTTAATCAAACAAATACTCACTGCTCTGACAACAAAACTTACCAAACAGAATTGAATTATTTGTTCAAACTGCTTTCCCACAATGGGCATCCGGGAGATTTCGTAAATCGATGCACAAGACAACAGAAGTTGAAAGAAAAAGACAAGAAAGTAGATTCTTCCGATCAGGCATCCAAACCAATAAAGTGGCGAACGCTTCCGTAAATTAACGATGTGTTCGAACTAGTTAAAAGACACCTGAGGAATCACCAGATACACATGGCGCACAAACCGACGACTACACTTCGTAACCAGCCAGTACACCCTAAGAATAGGATTGACTATCGAGTAAAGAAAGAAGTCGTCTGTTAGATACCATGCGATACCCGCAATGTAGTTCATTCTGGTCAAACAAGAAAATCTGCCGCCACACTTGTCCCAAGTTGACATTCATACGCTGGAAGCTGGTCATAAATTTGCCTTGAACAAGACTCGCATTATAGGTTTCCGTTCCTCCAAGAAAGACCGAGAATTTTCAGGGGCCATAAATTCCGACAGCTCGTGCATCAACCAGCACATCAAATGATATGGCGATAGCCAAGCAAAATGTGATGCCAGCCTAAAGGCTGATTGGCAGGAGAGACAGAGCAATACCGATTCCTAGGCACGTTTGAATTTTAACTGTTGTGCACACTTGCTTCATGTTTGAGGACGAATCAAAAATTTACGAAATAAATTTTATTATCTTTCCCAAGGAACTTATTTTCTTCGAAGTAAACTTCTTCAGATGCCCGTTTTCCACTTCACATATATATATATACATATTTCAAAGAAAATTGAGTCCTTTGGGAAATTGGGCAAAATTTACGAAATAAATTTTGTACAATTTCCCAAAGGACTCATTTTCTTCGAATTAGACTTCTTATGATGTCCATCTTCCAGCATATATATTTAGGAATATGGGGTTCTTTGGGAAACGGTAAACTTTATTGTGTAAATTTTCGAGACGGGTTCCCCAGCTCGGTTTCAGAAGACGGGCGTGCGAGAACAATTAACTTCTAGACCGAGTCCGACAAAGTATTCTATGATTGGCTTAAGTTATCTTCTCGAGATTGATTGAGTCAGTTTGAATCTGTCCTTAACAATTCTGTATGTGGCATCTAGATGGATATGCCGGTTGATGCATGCCTCGTCTGAGTGCATTGCCTCCAGGAATTCGCCGCCCTTCCTTATTGGGCAGGCGTCAACAACGCGAGTGTTTTCCCATGCTCCAACCCGTTGACGAGTGCCAGACACGACCTGGCTTCCACTCCAAATGTGGCAGGATAAAATAAGGTCGGCTCGAGGCTCGAATAGATGAGAATGCTAGTAAGGCCACACCCCGAAGGAGACATTACAGCCCGACCCTCAATCTTGCGAAGGAGCGTGGTGTAAGTCAGTCAGCAGCCTTCTAGACTACAGCTCTTAACTCATCCGATTTATTATAGTGCGTTAATTTAACATGGAGATGGATTTCTAAGTGTCGGCTTCACTCTTTCTATCGTCTCCAACGCACCAGTTGATTGGGCCAGCCTTTTTGTTCATAGTTGATGGCTGGCAGAGCTAAACAGTCCGTCTACGTGTGTCACATGCAAGACCTGATCCCAGCTTCATGAATCAGACCATGTCGAGTGACAGGCTTCTCACGTAAGTTAGATGCGCATATCCTTGTAAGACTCGGAAAGGCAGGTTTGTTTTACAGGGATAGAAAAAAGGACAAACGGGAAAGAGACTGAAGACGTAGCGACGAAAATTTAGCGCGATTCTTCTTTGATATTTACAGCCGGGAATGGTGAATTGTGTCCGGACACGACGCAGCAACCGGTGGATGTCATACTCCCTAGACCGCAACCTTAATCTCCGAGTGTTTCCCTTCTCCTTCTGGTCCGCCGAACTTATGTGCGTTCACTGACGCTTCTTGTTTAACCCTCCTCCATCTTTACATACTCCTTAATAAACCGTTTAAATTCTAGAATTTCCTTAGTTGCCCGTTTGAGATACTGTTAAGCCGTATGATGCTGAGATCAAAAATTAACCGTTCAGAAAGGAAGAAACCAACCCTTTCTCTACCCTGTTCCACCAAGACGACAGACGTTGACCCAGAGCCGATCCCTACGACAGAGGGACGGGACGGTCCGCCTACTACATCCTTACACGCAACATTTCGCTCGACATACCGGAACTGACAAAGCGCAAAGCACGTACATACATGGTAGCGCATACGCCGCTTTATCATACAGAAGTGTATTGGCATTGCTGTCGTTGAATTTTTATCGTAGTTGTGCATTTTGGGAATTTTCGTCTGAAAATTTGCCCAGTTCACGACAGTCTTAAGCATAAAAGTCTTTGGGCGTTGGGAATAAAAAACGACGAACAAGCAATCTGTTCGATTTGTAAATGACCATGCGAGTTGTGGACCGCCCGTATGCTCATACGTTGCATGCCGGGTTAATTGGTGCCCAACTCCACCTTTAAAGTGTGTCTGTCCTATAAGATAGTCATAGTACCAAAAACGTATGCAATGGCGGTCCATAATCGTCATAATATAGTACCACCATAGAAACTTATAGCCTTTTATGAGGAAGTAGGCGTGCTCAAACCTCTACGTCATTCTAGCACAGTTACTGATTGCCTTCGAGAGCTTTGTTATCGGTTACGGAAACCTGCTTATAACAATCTGGATCAATTAAAGGCCGTTTGACTATCTAACACCCTCGAGTGGCAAACAGTTAGGCTACAGAGAAAATTCCGTCTTCTCGAGGTTCCTGTCCTACGACTCAACGCATATCCAGTGTAACTCCTTGTCAGAAGTGGCATGCGTAGGTCGACTGGACATTTAATTCAGATCTCCTAGTGGTTTTTAGACTTGTAAGGCTCGAACTCTATTAGTGAAGACTGATCGAGTTGGGTAGGTTCGGAGACAAACTGTCATGCAAGTGGATGCTGTGCGATAGATCAATGCGGTCAATATAATATTGACACATATGAGTAAATGACATCAGTGTCTCGTCCTTTTTGACTTGAAGATAGAGTATGCTCAGGCATTTCGAGAGGCAAAGGCGAAGGCCGCGTTAATGGTAACCATCGTATTACGTGATCATCTCGTTTCTACTTCCACGCGCATCCGAAGTTGGCGGCCAAATGTAAAGCGGACGTCCTCCAGGCATATTAGAAAAGCAAGAGCGGGGGGCTAGTCAAACTGTGACTTACGGTCACAAATGCCAGATATTATAATTCAGGTCAGGTGTTTGGAAGGGCAACGTTTGACTGCAGTCAGGAACAAGAGCAAAGAAGTCTCAACTGGCTGGTCAGATTAATCGTCTTGAAAATGAAGAACGCCCCTAGCCTGAGTACCCAATGCAACCGCTCGCGTGATCAGCCACTAAGGTGTTAATGGAGCGAATAAATACGGCTAAAGCGTGGGAAATTATCCGATAGCAAAGTGTAGGGTGAAGCAGGGGCTGTGTTTTGAGGATTATTATTGTTCAGCCGCGCATCCTTTAAAAGGTCATCAGTAATTTTGAATCCACGAAGAGAACTATTGGTAACCCTTACTGTCCTTCACCCTCACCCTACTGTCCCATGTGGGTAACACTAACGCATTAGAACACTCATGAATTTCCCTTTTCGGCACTCGCTGCTGTCTATAGGCGTCAATGTCGCTACTGACCTCTATCATAAGCCGACTGGTCCATGTTACAGAAAGCACACAAGCGGAAGCAGACAAGAGATGAGTACCGGTCTTCCTTCGCACATGTGTGGACCTTCGCAAAAGCTACGTGAGCACGTTATTGCCCCATTGGCTGTTCTAGAAATGGAGGATAAGCCTGATGATAGAACACTCATGCTAATGAGAACCGTGCTTTCGAAATTAGATGTGCCTGGGCGCGGTCTCCAACAGCGGAACGCATAAAGGTATTTAAAGCCTGTTGCACATAATCACTAGATGTGTGCCGGGCCTATCGTTAAAACTGGGACACTTGTGGCAGAAGTCTTTGAGGAACCTGCTAAACCCAGAATAAGCCGACCCTAGAGGCCAAGGACTCTGTCTAATGGCAATGGTCAATAGCTCAGAAACAGTTTTGTGTGCCGGCGCAAATGATGCCATGGTTATCGTCAAAACTACGCTTCCGTACGAATTTTCGCACAGTTCATTCTGTGCGCTAATTTTGTGCAAAAAAATCTGTACATGGACAGCCCCAGAGGTTACCTTTTTACACAATTATTTCTGCCGACTTTCACTGCTATACTATCCTCTATGTGTGTGAATTGGGTGTAAGTATTTGACTCGCGATGTTTATTTATTTAGTTGATATTCTGTACACAAATGGTTCGGTCCTATGTGCTCGGTAGCGAATTATTAAGAATACTAATGGGACGCAACAGTGTATATGCATAGGTGTAAACCGATAAAGTCGGAGTAGAGGTTGGCTTAATGTGATTGCTAGTCATCCACCTCAATAAATTTTCCCTTAGAAGCGAAATATGGAACGAGTTAGCCGGCCTGGACCAAAGAGCTGAATAGAAAAGTTGAGCCAGCTTTTCTTAAATCAAGTGACGGTAAAAGATCGAATTTGATGAATAAAAATAGCAGAACAAGGAACGAACCAAGTGGAAAGAGGTACCCGGCCCATAAAGTGCGCCGACATTTCGACTGAAACAAACACCGTAACCCTTATTCTAGTGGGAAACTTATTTAAACTTAAAAGAACATCGTTTATCTAAGACTACTGCGGCTGTTTTTAGCAGAACCGGATACAACCCGCCGGAACTTTTGTTCGTAACTACAAAAACTGCTTCTCTCAGTATTTTATTTGTACTAACGACTTTCTCTGAGCGAACTTAAGCAGTGCGGTGATTAGTCTCCAGGGGGCGGCCACAAAGAATGTGTCAATTACGGCCGATGACTCAGTATTTCCCCTATTTGTATTACTACGCCTTACGCTTATGTTGAACCCGGATTCCAGAGGATTAATAAGTGTTATATGCGGGAATTTAGTTTTATGAAGCTCATTTAAAATTCACAAGGCCTATGCGGCTGAAGAATGAACTAAGAACCTTAAGACCTCACAACAGCGACAGAACATTATATCAGTGAGGGTGGGCGCAATTTCATGAAAGAAAAAAAAAGAATCAGATCGTGTATAACCCAGCATACCCGGGTGACACAATAGTGGCAGAAAAATCGGCGAAATCTCCCATTATACGACATCCAGCTGAACCTCCCGTTTCCTCTTTCGCGTTTGCCTCAGTTATTACAGTGAGAGGAAGACTCGATGCCAATTGCTTTATCGATATTTCTGTCCTAAGAAGAACTTCAGACAGAGCTTATTCGTAAAAACCTCCAATATTTGGCTAACAACCAATTAAGCAAGAAACCAGGTAGTGGTCTACTACGTTTTCACTTCTTTCGAGATTCACTTAAGTTTACTGAAGGAAATATGCGCGAGCTTTTAAGTGTCCTAGTAAAAATGCAAAAGTGGGTTGGGTATATTGAGAAATCACGTGGGCTGGGGCAGTTCGAATGGTGGATTTTGAACTATTTCAGTCCACTTGGTTCCTCTTTACACTTCACCTAATTTTTGCATTTAAAATAGCATACTCAAAAGCTAATGTCATGATACTTGTAATATCGTTGTCGTAAAGAGAGCGCGATGCACTATAAACACAAATTGAACACTGAAACAAATGGCAAAATATACACAATAGTCTTGGTTATAGTTCTGCGTGAGCAAGCAACAGTACAGCAAGCTTTAACATAAAAGTTTTATGAAGTCTGTAACGTCTTGGCGTCAAGCTGAGTTTTTTGGGGTGTTAAATAACACACGCGAATCTTACCGGAGAAAAAAACTATTGCTGAACGTAGATATATGAAAAGAAACTGTTTTGGAGTAACGCAACTTCACTGCGCATACATTCAGTTCAGTTAGTCCACTCCGTGACTACATAAAAAGACGTCGACAGAGAAAATCGTCTTATTATCCAATGACCCCTTGAATCAAGTGCAAATAGGTCAGTAGGTCAGTATATTTTAAGAGTAATAGGCAATGCCTTTGAAAACCAAAGGAGCGGGCTTCGGAAGACCTTTCACTCTTCCAAGGTTTTCTGAATAATATTTTGGAATCCACTGAAGCTATTGTAGTGATCAAAGCATTCCGCCTTGGAAAATGAGCAGATAATCCATTGGTGTCGACTCATCCCCGGTCTCTTAAAGTTTTGCTGACTAGCAGCTACGAAGCCAGTCTCCTTTTCCCAGGCGATTTAGGATTAAAGGCTCCATCCCAGGTGTTTTTTTAAACCGGACTTCATTCCAGCGGAACGGCTGAAACGCCGTCGACTAGTTCTTGAACTAAGAAAGAGGCTCAGCGAGAGGTGGAAGTTTTGTTATACACAACAACCAAGTAGAACGACGTCCGTCACTCTTCTTTTGGACAGGTCAGGCCCGAATGACCACGCAGCTGACATATTAAGTGAAGGCGCCAACCAAAATGTAACCACATCTTACCTCAACCGGAAATATTAATTCTTATACACCAATGCGCAGAGTTTGCAGTCAAATTTCGAAAAGCTAAGGATCCACCTCTGAGATCTATCCCCTGACGTTATCTTTTTCACAGAACCCTGATTGAGCCAACACTTGGACGGTCGTGAGATAACCTTGCCTTGTTAACAGATGTTTAGAAGGGGTAGGAAAGGGCGTCAGGGAGGAGAAGTTTTCACGTACGTGAAAAATGGAGTAAATGTGTCCGACAAAACCGATCAATTTTCGTGTATTTCCAAGACAGTCTGATCGTCTATTAAGGTGCCGGACTCTCCGAGGCTCGATGTCCTCATGGTTTTCCCACCGCCGGCACGGAACAACACGGCCGACGCCCGCCTGCTGGAGGAGCTCGAAAAGTTTGCTACGCGGCCGATATCCTGACTTAAACGCGCCTCTAATTGACTGGAGCTCGACCCACGCAAATAGCTCAGAACACACTTTCGATGGGAGTTTTGTGAATACGGAACAGAACTTATTTCTCACTAAACACATCGCGTTTTCAATTAAAGTACGCTACGACCAATAGCCCAACTGCCCTGATCTTGCCTATACGAAGTCACAAGACAGCATTGATGATGATCACGTGGATTAATCGCTCTTTTCCATGCCCGAGAAACCCATGAGAGTTAGAAGAAGCCTTTGGCGTGAGGATTTTGACCAAATTAGGGCTGAGATTTCACGTATTGAGTGGGAATCGGTATTTGTTGTAAGCATACTCGAAGACTGGCGACGGTTCCGAGAAATGATGTACATGCTCATCGCAAACCACTGTCCGCTTTCATGAAAGAGGTCAACTAACACACCTCGATGGCTTACGTAAGCCTTGAAAAGTGAATTAAATAAAAAGAAAAGGCTGTGGAGAAAATCGCTTCTGACAGGAGTCCCACATCCATAAGTGCGTACAAAGTTCAAAGAAATCGAGTCAAAGGTCTTATCCTCAGGATAGAAGAGAATTTCAGCGAGATCTGCTTAACCTTGCAGCGGAGAACAGTAACTTATTCTACGGTTACATCAGGCGGTGGACGCGTAACAAGGACCCAATACCACTGCTAAAGACTGCTGAAGGCGAAAGCTGATCATCTTTCAGAATTTTGCGGTCTATGTCTGGTAGTGAAGCTGGATTCAACTCATCGGCGAGTGACTTATAGGACACCACAACTATGGACACCATCAGAACCATGCCCTCAATGAACTGAACGGAGTTGAAGAAGCTAAAAGAATCAGCATCACGGGGTCCCGATGAGATTCTGGCAAAGATTTTGAAGGAACTCGCCCGAGAGTTGGCTAAACCCCCTCTATGCTTTTCCAGAATCATTCGAGACCGGATATCTGCTACCCGATCCGAAATCAGCGTGGATTACGCCACTGTATATTGGCAAAAGTCCGGTCTTTGCGAGCAATTACAGACCGGCCAGCCTCATCTCCATTTGCTGCAAGATTATGGAGAAATAATTAAGCAACAATTGGTGCAGTTCCTTGAACAAAACCATCTACTTCCTGATTCCCAGCATGAATTCCAAAAGGCAGGTCCTGTGTCACAAACTTGCTCTACTGTCTTGAACACTGGATTCGGGCTGTTGATAGAGGACACATGGTGCATGTGGTCTATATCGACTTCAGGAAGGCCTTTGACAGTGTGCCTCACCATCGCCTTCTGTGCAAACTCAGCCTTATAGGAGTGCGAGGTAAGCTTCTGATGTGGATTCGAAGCTTTTCATTCGACCGTTCTCAAACTGTCCACTTCAGTGACCAGAAGTTTGAGGAGTTTGCCGCTGGGGGTGGTGTTCCCCAAGGCTCCGTTCTTTGATCTACGCTGTTCATTATATGCGTCAACGACCGTGCAAACGAACTAGATTACGATGCCACAATGTTCGCTGAAGACATAAAGATATGGAGTACCATACGAAATGAAGTTGACAGAGCGCGATTGCAGACAAACATAGTTCGCCTCGAGCAATGGTTAAACGACCGGCTTCTACCATTTAACATAAACAAGCGTATGTTCCTACGCGTCAGCGAAACCAGTTCTCTTAACCGCACGGTCTACCGTCTGACTGGCAAACCACTGCAAGAGGTCGACGCTCAGAAGGACTTGGATATATGGATCACAACCTTTCTTAAGCCTTCGCTGCAATGTTCAAAGGTGGACAAGTCGGTGATGTCCATTCTATACCTCGTCAAACGGGCGTTCTCCTCCTTTGATGAGGGCTGCTTCGCCAAGGCCTTCCAAACCTTTGTGCGACCGCATCTGGAGTTTGCTATCCAAGCATGGAGACCCTGGACCGCTAAAGACTTCGGCATACTTGAAAAAGTTCAACGGCGAGCAACGAAACTTGCATCTGGGTAGTGGTCACTACCGTACGAAACATTATTAGCTAATTTTGACCTCTTTCCTTTGAGTTACAGACAGCTAGGTGGGGACCTGATACAACCTTTCCGCATCGTGCGCAATCAGGACTGCTGCCTCGCATCAGGAGACTTCTTCGAGTTGGCGACTACGACTAACCTGAGAAGCCATCCACTCAAACTGCGTGTGACTGGTGCCCGGCTAGACACACGAAAGTTCTTCTTCTCCAAAAGAGTGGTTGCAGCTTGGAATGCTTTGCCTGAGGATGTTGTTATGTCGGGATCCGTAGACACTTTCAAACGGAGGCTAGATCACCATTGGAGCGCGCATCACAATAACGTCGGACAGTAGCCACCTTGATAACCAACGCAGTCAATTTAGTATTACGACGATACTACTGCCAACATTAAAGTAACGTATGTTTATGTAGTTACTATTTTGGACCACGTCGCACGCCCCTGCTCGCATTCACCAAGATGCTTGCAGACTAAAAATCTTGTTACTTTTCCCGTATCTTAGGTGTGCTTCAACTCTCTGCTGCATTTAATCAGTAAGCCCAGTTTATTTGCCTCTAAAACGCATGAAATTATGTGCTCATCTGTACAGTTTGTGATGTTGGGCTTGCATTTATTTCATGTTACTTCCTTTCAACTTTCTCTATATACTTCCTCTGTGTGTAACAAATAGGGATTTCAGAGGTAAACACCTACTTTCCCCCAAATGCACTGAAGTGGACCTTACAATTATTCGTCATGTTCTGGCGTGTGTGGTAGGAAACTGTAAAATTCATTAGGGAAAGTGATTTGCCTCTACCTAGACTGCAATAAACCAACCTACTGGCCGACGAGAGCATTCATCATATTTATGATAAGAAATGAAAATTCCAAAGGGGATATGAGCATAAAATTTTGTCATACCGGTGAGTTCCATACGTTTTGAGCCAACAAAAGCCTGACAAGATGGGATGTGAAAACTTGGTCGTAGGTTATTAGGTCCCTATGGAAGGCCTTACAGTTTACTCTATTATACTGGAAACTCCTCGAGTGTCACGGCGAAGGACGTGTTACCTTCTCCCTTATCACAAATGTTAACGGCACATCATCGCTGTGTGGGATAAGTTTCTACACGAAGTTGCACAGCCAAGTCCCTCCGATGTTCTCGGAGAGTGTCTTGAGGAAGGCCTATTCGGCCACATGTGCCTTCATGAAAACCTGCCGTAAAACACCGCAAACCTCGCCCCACCAGTCCATAAACCACACGCAAACGCGCCTTACAACGCACGGGACGTGCATGCGCCGTCCACGTCAGCGGGAAGCATTTTATTCGATAAAACCTGATGGCTAACTTGTTCCCGTGTGGCCCAAGTAGACGGGCTCTTTTACCACCGGATGACTGAAATATTCGGAGGCCTAAATGATGCACGGGTGAGGGGTGAGATGGTGAGGTCGAAAGTGGGGAATCCACTCGGATGGCACAGCAGCACATTTCTCCTCATGCAGTGACTAAGCGCATAGATGATACCCAGAGCGCTACAATCATCAGACCCAATCCGGCGGTGAAGGAAAAGAATGAAGTCACCAAGCTGAGTGCATTCTTCACTATAGAGTTTAGTCGTCGTTTCCAACGATATCCACCATGTGCTCCGCGGCAGGGTGAGAGCAGAGACGGCGACTTACGTGCGGATTACCTTAGAATGACGGTTGACTTTCGAAGCGTCTACCTCACTCTCTCCTTCTCTCTCAACTGAATCCTGTGTCAAGATACTATCACGAAGACCGGAGGCGGGAGGCGGGAGAGAACGCAAGCGACTGGCACGGCATAACCCCGCATCTGGATATACCACCACACCCTCCGGTTCATAACGGACACTGACCACGGACACCAAGTAGAAGGGTGGACAGCTCGGAATCAACTTGACGCAGCGTGAGCCTGCGGTCCTCGTACAATGCGTGCATGAGAGGTGACTGGCTCGAGGAGTGGGAGTCAGGCTGTAATGGCACCTTCCTAATGTGACCTCAATGGCGTGCTCCCACACGCGAGATCTCATCCGTCTATATGCCTTTCGTGAAA